TTCTTATGGAGCCAAGAAATACGTGTACCAAGTTTCATCATGATATCTCAATTTTTACTCAAGTTACAGCTTGCACGGACGGACGGACAGACAGACAGACAGACATGCGGATTTCAATTTTACTTGTCCCCCTGTTCACTTCGGTATATATAACCCTATATCTGATTATTTTAGTTTTAGGACTTACATACAACCGTTATGTGAACAAAACTATAATACTCTTTGGCAACTTTGTTGCGAGAGTATAAAAAACGCAATAAACACCATCAATCAACCACCGTATTCAACATATCTGGTCTGTGTGATTTTTTCTTGTTCCCCAAACTGAAGTTTTCGCTCCATGAAACCCGTTTCAATAAAACAAGAAAAAATCTTAACTTCAGTTACACCGAAGCTAAATACCCTTCACAGGTGCATTTCTGTTAGTAACTATGTGTTCAGTTTGTATGGAAGCTATTTGCTTTATTAATCCATTCTGAACAATTTTTTTGGAGATTACATGGTTGCCTTAAAAAATAATCTATACCAAATTTCGTGAATATATCTTGTCAAATGTGAAAGTTTTCCATACATGCATTTGATTCCGATCGTTCGGTTTGTATGGCAGCTATATGTTATAGTGGTATAGAGCAGCTTCTTGTAGAGAAAATGACGTTTGCAAAATTTCAAAGCGATATCTTGAAAACTGAGGGACCAGTTCGTATATATACAGACAGACAGACGGACATGGCTAAATCGGCTCAGCTCGACATACTAATCATTTATATATATATATATACTTTATAGCGTCTCCGACCCTTCCTTCTGGGTGTTACAAACTTAATATACCCTGTTCAGGGTATAAAAATCGTTGACATAAGTATTATTACATATGGCGGGGATTACTTTAAAGGCGACTAAATAACTATTGATGAATAATGAAATATTTTGCATTATCTTTACAATTTCCGGGTACTTCTTTGGCACAATGTTTTATACGTTCACACATAYATACATACATATATGTATAATACACACACATGCATACAAATACATTACATGGAGCTGGAGTCAGGCGCGTGAGGTGGGTTTATCGCACAAGACAAGGTTGACAGGCGTTGTCTCTTTGTAGTCAGCTGCGTGTCGAGTAGAGTTTCCTTTAAAGAATATGCACTCGTATTTGAGGGCTTAGCGGAAAGGGCTAATACGAGATATTAACTGTATTTGTTTTGTGTAACTGAACATTTTATTTATATCCTTGCTGGAAAAAAGACTGTGATCTCTTTTTTATTTCACGACTATTTTGCGCGCATATGGCTTCTACTTTCTTATATTTCCGCCTATTTAAAGCTAACATCGATAATTAAGAACTATTAGCCTTCTTTGAATCGCTAAATCTCGACTTGCAGCATTTGAGCGCTGCTCTCTTGTCGCAAAATGATCATGTGAAAGCAACAGCAAAGTGTATGTCAATGGGAATGTTTAAAGCGGTAAAAAATGTAAATTTCTACTTTCAAATAAATAACTCTTTAGACTTACCAATAGCAGAAAACTTCACTTTAATTATTCTTTATAAAGAGATGATTCCTCGATGGTGTCCGGTAAGCACTAAGCAATTGTAGTAAATGCATAGAAAATACCTTGTGTCGCTGAAAAGAGAAAAGTTTGAAAGGGAAAAAATAAATTTGAAAATTTGAATAAAAATATCCTACTCAACAACACTATCAGTGAGTTCCACAATCAAGTACTTGAGAGAGCTGATAACGAATGTTCTCTCATCATATCCTCGGTAAAAAAAAAAATATTGATGAATCACACGTTAATTGCCGGATATATAAAGAAAAGAGCAAGAGATACATTTTTTTTTCGAAATGCCATTTTAAAATTGTTTGTATAATACTCCCTGAATGTGAACACTCAATTATTTAAACATTTGAAAGAGTGAAATTCCTTTTTACTATTCTTCCCACCGGTCTTACTTTCGCTCTCGGTCTTACTACACTCTACATCAGTACTTCCGTTATGAGGCAACAAATGATGGTTAATTAGGTTATTTCACAAGCAGCACATCAACGCTGACTGGTTGGAAATATAGGGTGGTCGAGTTGGATGCGCATTGTATAGAAGAATAATGCATTTTTTTTTTGTTTTAAGTGGGGGGAAGCATCAAAAGCCGGAGTGCGGAACTTTAATCCGCTAAACCAAACCTTTTCGCAACTCCAGACTCTCCCACCACCTGATTAAGTATCACTTCGTGGGAGTGATAAGTCATTTATGTCTCCTCTATAGCACGGACTGCCCGGTGCTTACTCTTCTCCAAAAAAATACATGCCCAGAGTCTTCAAAGTATTCTGGAGATGTCGGACTAATGTCGTGGTGGTAGCTTCTAAAGTATCCATGTTTACTTAGTATTTGGGTTAGGCGGAAATCCAGGTCCCCATGTCATTTGTCGATCCTTGAAAGTATGTCCGCTATTAGTCTGTAGGTCCACCGCCCTTTGTGTGAGGTTGGCAACCGCTGCTGAAATATTGTTAAGCTTTTGACTGTCTCTTCTCTTTTGGCTCCTATAGACGGACCTAGAAAATTGTATACTCGCTCGTATTCGTCCCCCTGGATGTCAATAAGCATCATACTGGCTATTACTTCAGCAGCATCACTTGATATTGTTCGGAAAGCACTGATATTGATGACTGTACTTGAGCGTACCGACAGAATTCTGTAGAGGGCATTCTTAGCTAATGAAGTTGTCTCCGAGCACCTGGAGAGTCAGAGCAAACATTTTCACGCGAATGAACCCGCGCGTATGATCCCGAGACAAAGAGGCAATTTTCCGAGTGGCACACGCCGGTGTCTTCTCGCCAAACAAGCATGATGGGAAGCATGAGTAAATCTATAGTGAACACGATGCTCTTCGTCTTTTTTGACATCAAATGTACCATCCACCTTGAATTTGTTTCTTCTGGGCAACCCGTAAACGCCAAGTTTTACAAGGAAAAGACTTAAACGAATCGGGTCCGATAAAACATCGCAGCCGACTGGAAGTTGCACCACGACAATGGCCTGGCTCACACCGCCTTTCTTGTGAACAGCTACCTAACGCTTCCGCAGCCGTCCTACAGCCCAGATGTGGCACCCCCGGACTTTTTTGTTGCCTGTAAGGACCGTTAAAAGGCAAGCATTTTGAGACAACGGAGGGAATCCAAGCAGAGTGCACTTCGGCTCTCAAGGCTATTCCGGAAAATGCATCATTATTAGATTCCAAAATAGGGAGCCTAGTACCGAGCTTTGCGGTACTCCACCCGAAATAAGACGAATAATGTAAATAATGGTATAAACGTATCTAAAACTCGTTGAATTGAAGATTTCTGGTTTAAGCTTTCCTCCAAACCCCCAAAAAGAAGTTGGAGGAGAAACAGCAAACTTTTTCCGCAGTTAAATTGYCAAACATTGAGGAGTTGCGAATTGAAAAAATAGCTGGTATAAATGGCATAAACTGTTATAAAAAATAGAAACAGAATAACGTGCGGTAAAATCACAGAATTATACCAGATTTTATTTTACATTTTAAGAAAACGATTTTATTTAAGTAAAGCTGCAATGTAAAACTGTGAAAATTTGCATTTGAACTAACCGCTACGCATGGATATATTTCCACACATGTGTGCTCCCAACTATGCATGCCTGTCGCCTGAGATCGGCTCTGGCTGAATGTCCACTAAACGGCATTTTAATTTCCGTTTGCTTTCGGCCGCAACAAGGGAGATGGAAAATTAGCCATATCAGGGATCAGCGCATTTTTATTATGCACGAGCGAGAGCAGGCGGTAGTGATATTATTACTTGAATGGACCAACTGTCTAACTAATTGACTAACACACACACACTCGCGTATACATATGTACATGTATGTATGCAGGAAGTCGCTTTAGCCGGCTGACGCGGCAGGATTCGCGTCATTGAGGATGACTAGTTGTTTCAGGCATGCAATTTGAAACTTGCCACATGTCAGCAACACACAGGGGTAACGATGTTTTGTCGCCCTATTATGGGGACGCAGCGCGCGCATAATTCCATTGAGGCGCTCGGCACAATGATGGAGCAAGAATAAAGTAAAGCGGCAACAAGGCAAAACGTGGCGTAGTTGGGCTAAGTTGTTGTTCGTGTGTTGCATGCAGCGGTGGAGTTGGCTGAAATGCGGAAAATTAACATGCTTAACTGCGCTTAGGCGCAATGACTGACAACCACTCGGCGATAAAGAGGCAAATTACCAATGTTTACCGCAGGCCACAGACCAGCCGCAATGCGGCCCAAACTACCATGATATGGGCAGGTGCGTTAGGTGCATATGCAGGCATATGCATTTAAATATGTGTGTGTGTGCGTGTGATTATTTATGAGCTGTTGGTTGAGTACTAAATTGCTGTGCGCGTGAGTAGTTGTGTAAGTGTTTTGTACCAAATCACATAACCATTACATATATACATTTATATGAATGTGTGTGCACGTGTATATATGTGTGTATATTTTGCTATGATTGCTGCCTGCGAAAGTTTTGCAGTCAGTTTTATCTAGGCAATTGTTTGGCGCGCACTCTGCTCGCTGTTCGCTCAACCATGTCAGCCGGTTGTAAATTGCACTCACACATTCAAAGCTTTGTATGTGTGTGTGCGTTTGTGTGTGAAGCGTCTCTGCCAGGAGTAACCGTTAACTTTGCTCAGCGCTTTGATGTCTGCTAAACGCTGGTTGCCTAGCGAATTTTATGATTGGTTCTGACACGCACCGATTTCATTGCTTTTCTTCATATTGCGCAATCGCCGGAGTGCAGAATATGAGATAACGATGTGTTAGTTTCCAGTTTTGCCGACGTCAATTGTTGGTTTTTTCTGTTTTTGTTTTAGCAGCGTCGTGGTGAAATTAGTTTTAGTGTCACATTCCAATGTTTGCAGTGGTATTTATGGGTGGGTGAAACACCGTTAGGATGGCTTGCAGCATGAAGAGTGAGCTTAGCGAGACGACGAACTTTGTTTTCATTTGAGTTATCAAAAAGCCTGGTTGACTCAATAATGTGCAAATTTCGTCGACTGGCAAGTTAATTCAAAAGTTCCCGATCTGACAGATAGATGGCGCTGCAAGAATTAACTTCTTGTGATTTTTAGTTAGCCCTAACCTTAAAAAGGCGCGTGTATAAATGTGACGGTTGTCGGATCATTAGTTTGTGAATTATATCATTTTGAGTGAAACAACTTTTTTTATTGTGAAGAGTTTGATAAAAAGTAATTTCATGTTTATTGGTTTTTGAAGAACAAAAAAAAAAATATAGTGGAAGCATAAACTTGGCTTGGTGACGACTTTCCGGACACTGCTCTACGAAAATCAACGAAAGATTAGTATGTTAAGTTAAGACGGGGTGAAATGGGCTTCGAAGACAATGAATGCAGTGGCTGACTAGAAGAAGTTGTTACCGACGAAAACATCAAAAAATTCCACAAAATAATTATGGATGACCGCAAAGTGAAGTTGTTCGAGATAGCAGGTACTTTAAAGATATCAACTAAACTTGTACAATATATTATTCACAAATATTTTGGTATGATAATGCTCTTTGCAAAGTGGGTGCCGCGCGAGCTCGTTTTTGACCAAAACCAATGGTGATTGGATGATTCAAAGCAGCCTTCGAAAATGTGCAAACGCAATAAACCCGAATTTCGCAACGATATGTGACAATGCGTGAAACATGGATCCACCATTTCACTCCGAAGTCCAATCTATAGTCGTTTGAGTGGGCCGACACGATGAAAGCGTGGAAAACCGCATCAACCGGCTACTAACGTTACTCCGTCTGTTTTTTAGGATGCAAATAGGTAGTCTGCTTGAAACGGAGTTCACTCTTAGGAGGTCGAGGACACGGAACAGTTCTCCGACCAGGCTTCAGAAGCAACAATTTTAAACAGGCACTGGCCACCATTAACAGTGGAGCAATTTACAATTTCACCAACAACAATTTCTCCAAATACCTCTCAGTGAAAGGCGGACTTGCAGTCAAAACACCACCCATTGCAGACGAAGAACTCAAGTTCGAGAATCTATAATCACTTTTGACCAATTATGGAAACTGTAGCAGTTCAAAATAAGTAGGTTATTCAGATTAGATCCCGACATATCATGTATTTCCAACGTGCAATGAGTTCCCGTATGACTTTAATCACTCCTCCTCCCGACTTATCTAACACCCTTCTCTCTATGGTGCGAACCCGTCGAAAAAGCATGTTTCCTGGGGGTACAGTTAGATGAGTTCGATGACAAGCAACCTGAACCCTACTAACCAATGGGAATAAGATAACCGTTACTACAACAGCAATAAATTATATTTAACAACCCGGCCTACTACGCCAGACCAAATGTGGACTTTGTCTTAAGGCGAAGAAGAAATCTAACACTAAAAAGCTGACAGCTTTGATTGAAAAACAGGCAAATATCTTCGAAATGTCCGTCGCTTTCAAATAGCAGAAGATCAGCCAGACATTTTTGGTTAGGTTATCAAGAGTTTAGTCCATCTGCTATATCTCGAAAGCTATCATCGAAGTTCTAACTCCGTTTGGCCGCATAGTAGCAAATAACAACTTTAGAGAAAATGTGAGAAGTACCGTTAC